TGAGAATGAAACTAATTCAGTAAAACTTTGCTAATGTTGATCTGGCAAACTGCTGGTAGCCATCTGTCTAATCCTTGTTTTGTTCAGAAGTTGCATTTTAAAACATAGTTATTAATAGCGCTCATTAGCTGCCAAGCAAAAGAGCATGCCACAGGCTTCTGCTCAGAGATTAGCCCCCAAATACTATTTATTTTTCTAAGTTTGAGCTAGAACTTGCTGCATGATCTTAAGGCCAGGACAAGTCTTGCTCCTAGGGATCACAGGGCCAGGAGAGACCTTAAGGGTTCACCTCAGGCCAGGTACCATGCTCAACAGATGTCAAGCCTTTTCTTAAAGCTCTTCAGCAATGACAGTTCCTCGAGCTCCCCACCAGATGATCCATTTGAATGCTGTGCTATCCTTACTGTTAGAAAGAGTTTTTTATGTCTAAAGTGAATTTTCCTTGGTGCAATTTAAGTCCATTACTCCTAGTTGTGTTAATGGACATAGAATACCGTTTATTCCTTTCTTCTATGAAGCAGCTTTCTTTTGTATTTGAACACTATTGGTATGACCACACTCAGTCTGCTCCTCTTAAAGCTAAATAATTTGTCCTAGGTGTATAAGGCCTGATTTTTAAAAGTGTTGCACTCCTGCAGTTCCCATTGCTTTTATTCTGGTGATTGAGAGTGAAAGAACCTCAGTACGTTTGATGATCAGGCTGTATTGTTTGATGCCCTTTAAATACCTTTAGGTATGAAGGGCATGAATGCAGTTTATAGCTGTATATATGTATTCTTGTCTCCAGAATAAAAGCATATGTACAGGACCTATGACCAGTCTTCTAACAGCATCCACAGAGCAAGAGCAACTTCACAAAAAAGAACAGTCTGATGGAAACTTGCTTGCCTAATATGTAGAGTTTTGCCAAATCATTTGAACTAAATCATTTTCTAGTTTTCACGCAAAATATATCTTAGTTGATAGTTGTTTTATTTGTTTATATGATTTATATGGCTAATGTCAAAGCAGTGTTTTTGTTTTTTGTTTTTTTTTAGCTAATTGCTGCTGTTGGAAAATATATACCTAAGATGCTTAAATTAAAATCTGTTTCCATACCAAAATAGAGGATAGTGAAGTTTCTTCCTGTAATGGGTTTCTCATTAAGAGGAAAGGTGATTTTTATGCTTAAGGTACTGGACTAGAGTTCCATACAGTGTCGTTCAAAAGGATGTTTCCTATAGTGTTGACACACAAGATGATATGATTGTCCTGTGCTAGCATTCAAGGGTGCCTAGAGATAAATCTCACTACTACCTACTCTGTCTCTCAATTTCCATTGTAAATACAGCTTTCCTTATTTCCGTGTAGTCCTTCATGAAATAGCTCCTTCATGTCACCTGAGGCTCTTGGTACAATTGTAATGCATTCAATAATAGCTGCTTGCATTGGTTCTCATAAATGTAGGGTTATATATGCTGCCTTTTGGAGAAAAGAGTTTTTGAAATGTCTTGTTTTCCTCCCTTAGACCATCTTTCCTAGCCTAGAAAAATTATTACCTCAAACAAATGCAGAGAACATTTACAATTACAAAGTAAAAATAGCAGCTTTAATTTTAGGCTTCTTGTTGTTGCTTCTTTTTGAAAAAAAAAAGAATCATAGGTGGAGAAGGGGAAAAAAATGGGAGGCTTTAAAGGTATTTCTCTGAGGAACTGTATGTTTTTTTCATAGCCAGCCATGTTCTTTACTCTTATTCATAAGATTTTGTCAAACTGCCAAAGATAAGACTGATTGTGATGGGCATTAAAATTATTGAAATTGTAAAGTGAATATACAATTCTCCCAATCTTGTTGAGAAAAGGTAAACAAAAATAACACGAAATTTCACCATTGACAAGAAAGCTGAAGCGGCACAGATATGGTAATAGACAATAAGCTGCAGAAGATGAAGGTATGCAATCATACCTTTAGATATATATCCAGTCAGATTATTTCCCTGTAAACACCTACGTTTAATTATCCTGTCATCCATCTTCCCCTCCTCCATAGGTTCAATAATTCATCTGAACTATGTGCATACTATAGTTCTTCTCTTCTTACATTACTCACTCAAAAACCTGCCCTCCTCCTCTTTTGAGATGTACAGTAAATCTTCCATTGCTCAACCAACGGATTGATATATTAAATTATAATCTTTCTCATCTGTATTGATTGAAGGATATCCTTTTATTAGGGCCTGCCTGTGCTTGTGTGACATGACCCCATCCATTACAGCTCTTAACTGTGCAGTAAATTTTGCAGACAGTTTTCTGCCACACAAAGCAAAGGAACAAACAAGGTCCTTGGACACAGGTGGGAAATAGTAACAACAAAATCTTAAGATGGCTAAAGGGTTCCTTAGGCAAAATGGAAAGCAGTTTGAGAGGGTTTAAAGTCACATTACAAATCTGGCCTAGCGCCTACACAAAATGGCTGGAAGATAAATCATACCATATTTCTTTATCTAATAATAATATAGTATAAAACTGTACGACTTCACTTTATGCTTGATGGCAGGGTAGTTACTAGCATCTTCAGCAAGAAAGCGCATGTCCTCATTTCTTGATTAACGGAATCACTGTCTGCAAGGACTGAGAAGATTTTCTCAGTGAGGAAGCTTGAAGCTTGCCTATGACACCCAGTATCTTGAGGGTTAGCCCTGAACGTCTGGCAGCCCTCAGCAGTCAGGCACAGAAGGGGTATAAGTTATGTGCACCATAGCTCAACGTCCAAGCACAACAGCTATCGCTGGTGTTAAATTTGAGGACTGCCCTCATCCTAAGGGTATTTGAAACTTTCCCCTTACCAAATGTATCCTTTGGATTAAGTCCCAAAAGCCTACGCTCTTTTCATTTTAACTAAAGAGATCGATTGAGAAAGTCTAGGTGAGTGATGGCCTTTATCCTAATCCCAAACAACAGTCTCACATACACTGAGATAATGACTTACAGAGGTACCGCATTTCTCAGTGAGCGACACCTTAGCAAAAAGTGTCAGAGTACTCATTTAGGAAAATCTTCCAGCTGAAGCATTCATAAATAGCTTCATTTTTTTTGGCTCGTGACATCACTACAATCCCTTAATGAAACTATATTTCAAGGAGGCTAATTTGTGCTCTAATTATGCATTAGTCTGGGCTGAAAGGTTTCTGGACGAAAAAAGGTTTCCTTCAGGGGATCTTTTATTCCTCTTATTGTATTTACTTAACAAAGAACAGTTTTTACTGTGCTCTCTTTATAGAGTTGAGTTTTAATGCTACCTTGCTAAGGGCAAACATCTGTAGTCATTTTTTGATGGATTCTGATAATGCCCTTTAACAAGGCAGAGGATTGTTTGCAAACGTAGGAAGAGCAAGGCTGAAAAGCTAACAGGTGTACTGCCAAAGCAGAATGAGCTTTAGGAGCTCTTCAGCCAGAATGTCTTCCAGGACAGTGGCTACTAAGGAATCACACGGGAGATTATTAGGCAGGTGGTTTACGGAAATTTAGAGAGATGCAAATGCCGGAAATATTTTCTCACCATTAAAGAAGATTCCCCTGCTAATCGCTTTTCCTGTGCCACTTGAAAGAAGACACTCAATATTTGGTTTTGGTGCATGATGCATTTGATACAGAGTGAAATCTCAACATTGTTCACAGTAAGCTAAGATTCAGAGTCATTCCACCTAACTGAGGCTTTCTGAGCAGAGCGGTATTTTAAGGAAAGCAGCTAAGCCCTTCAGAGCAGTGAGTTACCTTTTAAGGTGCGTTACTGTTTCTTCTGCCGCCCAAAAGAGAAACTCCATTGATGTGGGTACCTCAGCAAAGTACCTATAGTTATCAGGAGGAAGTCAGCCTAGAAAATGCAATCAATGAGTTATGAGTAACAAGGTAAATAAAATGTACATCTTCAGTACGGCCATTGCTCTTGTGTTTGTGTTAATAGCAGCTTTTCCCTGTAGATAAACTCTAGACCAATTTTTGAGTTAATATAAATCAGTATCAGTTCTCATTTTGTTGAATCCGTCCTGGCATCTAATGCAGAGGCTGATCCTGGCACTAGAAGTAAATTTCTGTGCCATCCATTATCTCCAGGATAAACAGAAGCTGCAGGTGGAATGAATTGCACTTAATATGAATGTGAATAAGGAGGAGTCCAAATAGGATTCCTATTGTTTGGATAATAACATCTTGTGTCACAACATAAAAGTTTCCAAAAGAGCAAATCAGCTATTTCTAGAAGAATTAGAAGCTGTTGTGCCCTCTTGCACCATTAACCCTTATCCTTTCTCTGAGACTTTTGATACAGCCTCTGTCAGGGAGAATAAACAAGAGCAGGTGAACCGCTGGTTTCAGCTGCTGCAGCATCCTCATGTTCCTCCTCTCAAAGTTGACTGCCCGCAGCTCTCAGCCTTCTCCCTCCCTTCCCAGCTGAATACCTGCCCTTGTTCAAGCCTCCCTCAGCCCTTCTGTATAGAGTATTTCACATTAAAAGGGTATTAAGATACTCTGTAGTACCACTAGACTTTGACAAGAGGCAGACACTGGCATGACTTGGCTGTCACAAGACGTAATTAAAAATATATTACTAAAGCCCTGCTGTACATTCACCTGATCACAGGTGAAGAGCAAGCTTGAAAATCCACCTTCCCACAGCACTGCCTGGGTTTTCCCAGCAGGTCCTTGCTGGAGGAGGTCAGTGCTAGGACGTGGTCTCTGTGAAGCAGTGCTAACGAGGCGCTACACAGAGGCTGTGGGAAGTCATCCTGGCAGGAACCCGGAGTGATGCGTATTTGGGCATTCACACATGCAAGCTATAATCAATGCATTACAGTTCTGTGAATTTTGATGGAACTGTAGAATCAGAAAAAAAAAAAAAAAAAAAACAACGGAAAAGAAACAGATTTGTCAAAATGTTTTCACCTGAGAGAACATATGGAATAGATCTGAAGGCACTGACAAAATACTGATTTTATGTATCTCTTTTCTTCTGTTTTCTTCTAGAAAAAGTAAGCATACTGTCAACCTTTATAGCACCCTTCAAGTATTTGAGTCCTGGCGCAACCAATATGGAGGATGAAGACAATTTAAGTAAGCAGCTTCTTTTCTTTATAGATAAACGAACAATAAAGTTACCTAAAAGCACTGAAGTGTAACAGTAATTGTGGACACTAAGTAGATTTGGGAACATTGGCAGGCCTTGAGCACAACCCTTCAGTTAAAATGTAGAATTACCTGATGCTGAGTGCAAGCGTATTCTCTTACGTCCAGTGAAGGAGAGGTTAATCTCAGTTCAGCTTCCCACTTTTTCCCACAGAGGCACTAGGAAGCGGGGCTATAAACTCTGTGCCACAAATATAAAGGAAAAAATTCTTGCCAAAGGGAGGTGTTCAGCACCCAGAGTCACAGAACTATGGAGCTCCTTTTCTCTCCTGCTTATGTTACCTTAGTTTGCTTGCTTGCTTTTCTCACAGACCCTGAAAGACAAGAGCTTTCTATTTCCTTCCTATTTCCTTTGTCTTTGCCCTGAGTTTATACTCTCTTGATTACAAAAGGACTTTTGCCAAAGTAAAGACTGCAGGATCAGGCCCTCCTTTTGAAAAACTATTTTCTTCTTTATTCCTGCTTGACATGACCTGCAGCAAAAAAAATAGACAGAAACAGAATCCAATTGAAAAGAGATTATTAACTAGGCTTAAATGAACTAGACGTAACTCAAAAATTAGCCATAGGATTGTCTGGGGCACTTGCACCAGAATGGAGGCACTGGCATGTTCTGTACCTGTGCCTGTATAGCTAGAGGAAAGCACTGCTGAGTTTGAAAGAGAAGTGAAGTCTTTAAAACGTAATAATAATAAATCCAGGAGAAAAGTGTGCATTTAGGACCAAATAACCCTTACTAAGCCCTTCTATTTATTATCCAGAAGCAATTATTGTGTGTTATCCAGCCCTGCTTATTGTAACGTATCTTGAGACATTTAAAAAAAGGGAGGAAGGCATTTTGAACCAAATGAACATCTCTCTGAGTTTTAGTATCACCCACCAGATGGGTTTCTTTCCCAGCCAGAAACACAATGACGTGTTGCCCTATTAGAATCAGTGGGTGGGAGGAATGGGTTTTTCTCCCTGTTGATGCTAATCTGCCTTGGTTAGAACATGATGTGGCACCAAGGGGAATAGTTGCTGAAGGAGTACAGCCCTCTATTTTGTACTGATGAGTATTGTATGGACATCACACTGTACCTGCGGCATGGGAACCGGTTTTTACATATCTTAGCAAAGGTGAAAAAGTCTCGGAAAGCCTTCAAAATTGGTCCCAAGGAGGCTACAATTTCAGGAAGAGGTATGAGAAGTACACATAGGAAACGTATTATGCGCATGATGAGCTTGTACAGGCACCTACTGCGTAACGTTTCCCAAATGTGCTACTTAGTTATTTTTAGGTAATGTAGGAAGTTTGTACAAGCCAAACACTGTAACACCATTTTCTTACTGCTTCAGTAATGCCAAGACTGCTTCGTGCCTGTACTGGCTTTAAAATAGCTCACGCGGACAGGGTGAACTATGTTTTCTGAAAGCAAGCAGTGAATTTCACTGTGTTTGGGGAGATCCTGCCTAGTTCTCTCCTGGTTCAAACATACTTCTAGTAGTAATGGCATCAATCTGTTCATTGGCATATACAACAAATTTTTTAAAAAAATTTTGCCTGTTAGAATCTAGGGGGGAAAAAAAGTGAATTAAGTTCAAATCAGACATATTTCAGTGTTCAGTTCTGCTATAGTGACATAGTTCCCACTAACTTCTGTAGCAGGTAGGTACCAGTGTAGTAATTAGGTATTTTAAAGAGCTTCAGGGATTTGATCTGAATAAGCCGTCTTGTACTGTGTTAACAACTTAGCTAATGGCTAGAAGAAGAGTAGCAGGATAGCATGGTCCTTTGGTTATCCCTGTAGGCTTCCAATAACTGAACATCCTTGTACGACCCCTGTGAGAGTGCTCCTTCCTGGACCGTGCTACATGAATGCAGAGAGTCTCATTAACTGAAATAGGTTCTAATCCTATGTTTCATGTTCTTTTAGGCCTTCTTCACAAAGCGGTCCGTGCCAGTTTAACTATACGCACATTTTCAACAACTGGCGCTTTTTAGCATATAGATACCATTATTGTGGTTTATGATCCATAAAATAATGCTAGAAAAATGTATCCAAGCCACTGGCCTCCTTTGAAATGCCACCTTTGGCAGACTAATAATCAGCCTACAAGGCAGACTTGATCCTGAACACGAGAGGAAGGGACTATATTATTTCATCATTCCCAAAAGTCATTTGTACCTAAGAAAACAAGAACTGTCATATTGGATTAGAAACGGGGTGTATAGCTCTGCACACTGTCTTCAGCAGTTGCCATTACTGATACATTGCAAAAAGGGACATTTAAATAGTGATCCTACCTTTGGTATATCTTTCTAGCACCCGGCAAGAAATATACTTGCTCAAGTTTGCACCTGAATCATCTTGTTCCCTAGACACTGATAAACCTGTCTAGTCTGCTTTGGAGCCCACTGATACTTCTGATTTCAACAACATCCAGGAACAGAGAGTTCAGTGATTAACTGTGTTGTCAAAAAATACATCCTGTTGTTGTTTCAAGCCTGCTGTCTCAAGTCATTGGATTATATGAAACAACGAATAATCTGAACTGGATGAAAGAGTGAATAATCATTCCCTATTCACTGTCTGCACGCCCTTGAAGATGTTAGCCACCCTGGCCTATCCCAGATCTTAAACTGACCCCTCTGCTGTATGCAACAGCACCAAGGTCAAATATCACCAGGCACAGACACTCACAAATCTGGCACGCACCTCTAGCAGCAGCATAAGATTCGTGTGGGTCTGGCTGGGCAACACTACTGCACGTGTAGATTTGGTGCAACTGTTCAGGCATGGAGGCCTAGATTGATCCTGACTGCCCTTAGTCACCTCACCGAGGCACCTGAGCTGCTGTAGCTTCCTTTTATGTCGAACAGGCAACGGCATGCAACTCAGAGCACTGCAGCCCTGCTGGAGGTACATGCTCCAATGACAGCAGAGGGAGCTATGTGGTGACTGTGCGCCTATCGTAGGTATCTCAGAAACATAGCAAAAATCATGTGGGATGAATTCCAGCCTAAGATTCAGCACATTGAAGCATGTTCGATTTTCAGCATGTGGGTGAAAATCCTCCTAAGAAAGCAGGAAGCCCCAGAGCTTCTGATTACTTAGTCCGAGATACAACGGGGACCCTACCTTTAAGAATATAGTGAATACCGTCTTCCATGCTATCTTCTTCAAAGCACCAACCCATCTCGCACCACCAACCAGAACTGCTGCTTTTGTTTTGAAAATCATATCCTTCGCCATCGTTTGGATTTTCCTCATGCTTAAAGCTAAGCTGTAGTCAGGTCCTGACCCAGGAAAGCAAATACTTAAATCCATTTCTCCTCAGAGCTGCAGTTTTTGCTGCATGTACTTATTTGCTAAATCAGACTGAAAGCGTCAGAGTCTGAGTATCATCTAAGTCAAGGCATTAAGTCATTTGAATAATTTCCCTGATTAACATGATCTGCACTACAATCTGCATGGATTTCACAGTTATTGCAGACAGAAAAGGTGGGCAAAGTAGAATATCTTCAGTTTGGAACAGCTAAAGACCTCAATCACCTTTCACAAATTTTCAGTCTTTAATTTAAGCAAAGTCCTGTATTTTCATTGCACTGCAAATGTTTCCCCTCACAGTGTGATGTTGCACACTGATGAATTCTAGCCTTTTAACCAGCCTAAACCCTGTGAGTTAGCAGGGAGGATTTCATCTGCAACAAAGCTATTATGACAGGTTTTCTTTAAGTAGACTTACCGTATTTACTTCTTTCATGAAGATTTAAAAACATATTTTTATGTGTTTGCATGTAGGAGAGGAAACAGTGCTATTTACTGTTAGCTACAAGTTTATTACTCTGAAGTCAAAAATATAGACCTAAAAATCCCTAGCAGAAGAGTTCCCAATCTTTTGTTATGGATTCAGTAATTGTATAAAAATGTTGTTTTGCCTGCCAGAGAAGACTGCCCCGCGTTACTATTAATGTAGTAGCTGACCTTGAACAAAGGTACCATTGTTTTGGCTTCCAAGCTCCTACCTATTGCTTCTGAGTGAAATTTTTTCACTTTCAAGTATGACGGGAATTATGGAGATCAATCCTTTTAACCTTTGCAGTCAATGTGATGCAGCTGGACAGGCAAAACATGCTCTATACAAGCAAGTCAAAAGGGGGTTAGATGCTACAATGCAGAATGCAGGAAAATAAAAATTCAATTCAACCTGTATTGTTCTGAATACATTGCTGGGAATTTTGCTTTCACTAAACGTTTCTAAAGACAGTAACTTCCTGTTTCATAGAAATCAGTTATATCAGAAGTTTGGTATACGATAGAGACAGTAAATTCTTTCTTTCAATAGCGTAACATTGCTTGTGATTCAGTATTAAAGATGCCAGCAAGAACGAAGATGCCACCTACCTCTCCTTTCCCATCCTCCCTGGAAGTTGGCTTGGCAGCAGAATAACCTTCAACAGGAACAATATTATCTCTTCAAATGTAGCGTGGAGTATCGGATGGCTAGTTCTTCGGAGCCCTTATGACCCAGAGACATAGGCAGTGTCATTATTAGTGATGCATTATAGTTCTGAAAAGCTCTTGATGATGCAGACTCCCTAGGTTAACTCTACTGTGCATAATGACCAAAGGAGAAAAACGTGAAAGAGGCAACAGAAGACTGAGGAAAAATACATAAATAAATATATTTCACTAACTGCTTTCTTCTCTCCTATTCAATTTCTGAAGCAAATATAAGATTGCAGTGTCTCCCTTTGCTTGTAAAACTGCAAAAATCAGTGAAGAAAGCTACTTCAGGGGATATTACAATGAAGAATCAAATTTTTCTTGCACAGTAAAGTAGAAATTATTGCCAAAAAGTTGTAATATTTTCCTTTCTCTTTTTTTTAATCTCCTCCCCTTACAATTTTATTCTTCTCCAACCTTTCATCATATAATAGCTATATTTGATTATAACTTTTTTTTCCAAATGTAGAGAATGTGTTTTGGGAACTCAAGACCAAGACATGATGAGAGAGATAACAGGTCTGAAAATGATCCACAGTTTTGCACTTTCCCTGTGTGTATCCTCCGACTTACTCCTTTCCTTTTAGTGCTCTTCATTTCTAAAATTGCTTGTGATTGTTCTATTATGGCTGCTTACAGTATTTATCTTATGTAGTTTGGTGTCATTTGCCTGCTTTGTCTGATTTTCACAATAGAAGTACATGGGCCACCATTAGAGAAGTAATCTTGTGTCTGCTATACAGAGGTCTCATAAAAGACACATTTCAAAGACCGTCTATTTCAAAGATACCTGGAAGTATAAAGTAATTTCACATTGTCCTACTATTGTCGGATATCACACAAGTCCATCAGGCTCACAGACTGAGTCTCTCATTGAATTTAGGCTGCCTCTAATTTACATGACATAGATGACTCTTGGCCTTCTGCCGCTCTTGTTGAGATCTGTGGAGAAATGAATTATTAATCGGTGTTTCAGAATCAGGTCCTCCTGAAATCTGGTTGGATGTAAGGACACTTGCGTGGATTTCCATCAGTGAACTATGCCAAAACATGCCATAAATAAGTATGTTACCTTCAAGTATATTAAGCTTTTTCCAGGTATCCTTTGTGTCTGGCCCTTAAAAATTTTACACGGGCATCTCTGCATTTTTTTTGGTTATATCAGTGCAAATTTCCTGTTCCCCCAAACCTAGACTAGACAGCTCCACAGACAAAATTTCAGGACAAAGAAGTAAAGTTTGTTTTCTGTTGCCATGTTGTTAGTTAATCGCTGTGTTAGCAAGGGTGATTAAGATAAGATGCTAAGGTCACACATTCTTGTTCACAAATCCATGGTTCTCCGATTATGAAAGAATAAATAGCTGGAAGAAGACAATATAAATTATAGAAACAAATAACCCCCTGAGTTTTCCTATTCAGTGGTGCATAATCAATACAAATTCTTCTCAAACCTGAGTATAGTGTGATGCAAGAGCTATCTTTCTTGTCATGCCTCCTAAGTTCAATACCATTATGTACCATAATTGAATCTGTAAAAACCTATTAGGTGAGATGAGAGAGGAGGTGTGAAACGCAGAACCAAACCTGCTTCCCTCCAAAAAGCGTATCTGAGTTAAAATATTTCACCTTTAAACAAACAAAAAAGAAAAATCAAGCAAAGAGGTGTATTTGAAGCGGGAGGGAAACATGAGATACAATCACAGAGGAAAATGGCTGGCCAAAGTCAATGCCAAGTTACGCAGAGCAAAGTTAAAGCTGGCACCTCCTTCCCCTTCAGTTCAAAGCTTCCATAAATAGAGTTGTGAACTCAACAAGAAGAGACCACGTTATCCTTATGTCTTATTTAATTTGACCTTTTAAATATCTCATTTCCAGTGAGACTGTTTTAAAGATTTCACATTTTGTATGGCTGTATGCCATATGGTGAAACTTTTCTTTGTCTATTATGTATTTCTTTTTCTTTCCTTCCTCACCTGTCTTCATTCTCTCCCCTTAGCTTTAGAAAGTAAAAATTAAGTAGTCACAAAGACCTTAATTTGTCAGTCCACCTTCTGCATCAGCAAAGCACTTCACCATATGCATGGAGTTAAGCAAGTAAGTGATGAAATACAGACACAGGCTGGAGGCTTAGCACGTGTTAAAGTGTTTTTAGGAAAGGGAGCCTAAAGCTTCAGTCCTGCAAATGGGCTGCCACACATGCAATAGTGCCACGGTTTTTAATAAGGTCCAAGCAGTGAGCTGCTTGCTGTGGAAGAACTGGCATAATGCAGTCTTATTGCTCTGACGGGAAGAAGTTTTTTGGCATTTAATATAGGCACAACCCACCCGTTTTTCATTGGGAAGGAAGATTTTTAGTATGGTTGGTTCCACATAATTCTCTGCAGGCTCCTGTGCTTCTGTCAGCCGTAGACTCATTCTGGGCTGTGGCACAGTCACACTGCTCCAGCAGAAGCTGCTCTGGGCTTAACAGGCAGCTAACCACTCGCACCATTGCACCAGGATTTTATATCAGGGTGGAGAGGCAGTAGAACATGGTAACAACCCTGCAGATCATGGAGGGACCGTTCTCTGTCCTCTAAGGACCACAGGGACTTTCTCTGTGCCTGAGACTCGTGCAGTTACTACAGGTGGCATGCACCTATCTGACAATAACGAAACACGTGAAATGCTCCATCAGCAATGCTTGAGCCACAGCCAGGCAGTGTTATGGTCTGAAAGGGATCAGGTGCATAGCCTCAGGAATTGGTTGCTTCACAGTTTGATTAAACTCATGTTTATTTCCCCACCTTGGTCTCTGCCCCAAGCAAGGCACAGAAGGAATGGAGGATGTTTCAGAGATGCCATACATTTCAACAAACTCATCAGAAATGATAGAAATGCTGTAAGACACTTATTGAGAGAGCAGCATGTTTTTCTTCTCATTCAGGACATTAGTGAGATGAATCTCCATTCTCAGCCATACATCCTCTGCAGCAAAGAATACTGCCTTGCAGCACAAGTGTTGCACAAGTGTAGTTGAGAGCAACGTGAGATTCATTGGCTCACGAATGACAGAGCGCTCTTTTGTAGCTCCTGGCTGTCATTTCCTTCCCTTCGCCCATCATGACAGTGTTTCATGGCTGTCACTCTCTCCCATTGCTTTTCCTTGACACAGATCATCCCTTACATCAGTAATTACTCCCATCAACATGCTCTGGCTCTCTTAGTCTGATTTAGATTTATCTAGAATTGTTGCTGCATTAGTTATTCCTGATGAAGGAGCTAAGAGTATCTGCAATTGAACTTGACAGAAAAATTCTCAGATATCAAACTGGATATGTGAGATCTGGACTGGAGTCCAGATCAATTACAGTTTCAAGTGTGAGGAAGGTCTGTGTGATCATTTCTTAGGCTGGATTCATGTTGTTAGCAACACAAGAGCCTATGTTGTGAGAAGAGCTGGTTAATTTATTCACTGAAAATATATTATTCAATGCACTTGCCTGTTTTTCTATTTGTGAATCATTTTTGATTTCTAATAATGTGTTCATAAGCATTTGCCCACAAGGATTATGGAACAAATCTCAGCCTAAGGACTCTTTGCAAGCTATTCACTTTTTACTAGTAATTATACACTGTGACTGCACATTTCAGTCACATGGCATCATTTATGCTTCCTCTTTGAATGACGTAATCTTTTTAGAACAGAAGGATAATTACTAATATAGGTAGAAGTTTGGGGACAAATAATCATTCAGAACATGTTGAGAAGCTGTACTCTAACAAATAAAGCAACCATTATACAGATATTTAAGGAAAACTATTATACCTTCCCCCTCAAAGAAAGCCAAGCAAAGGTATCATTTTCCTTCATAAAATTTCTATCATTAGCTCTTCTGTTTTCTTTTTTGGCTATTCTGCCAACCCTAGACATGATGTTAGCTACTGTGATGACAACTGTGAGTTCTTTTTCTTCTTTACTGACAGGTACCAGCAGTGCAGAAGTAAAGGAAAATCGAAACATTGGCAACCTGGAGGATCATCCAGTATCCTCTAGTGAGAGGGCAAGAGGAGGAACATCTAGCAGTAAGAGAAAAAGACCCTTAGAGGAAGGCAACAATGGCCATTTTTGCAAACTCCAGCTCATCTGGAAGAAAGTTTCATGGTCAGTGACACCAAAGAATGCTCTGGTTCAGCTACATGAACTCAAACCAGGTTTACAATATAAAATGGTTTCCCAAACAGGTCCAGTGCATGCTCCAGTCTTTGCTGTTGCTGTAGAAGTAAATGGACTTACATTTGAAGGTACAGGACCCACAAAAAAGAAAGCCAAAATGCGTGCCGCAGAGCTAGCTCTGAAGTCTTTTGTTCAGTTCCCAAACGCCTGCCAAGCTCACTTCGCCATGGGGAACTGTATTAATCCATCCACGGACTTTACTTCTGATCAGGCAGACTTCCCAGATACTCTGTTCAAGGAGTTTGAACCATCTACACACAGTGAGGACTTTTCAGTCTATAACCCAGTTAATAATGAATTGCTCTCCACTGCTTATCGACATGGGAGGTTACTCTGCCATACATTGGACTTAATGGGCCACAGTAAGCAAAACAAGCACAAGATGGCATCCAAAGCGGAGAGCGAGAAGAACCCAGTGGTGCTGCTAAATGAGCTGCGATCGGGACTGCGGTACGTCTGCCTGTCGGAGACCGTGGAGAAGCAGCACATCAAGAGCTTTGTGATGGCAGTGCGAGTGGACGGGAGAACATTTGAAGGCTCAGGACGTAGCAAGAAGCTGGCAAAAGGCCAAGCAGCACAAGCTGCTCTGCAGGCCCTCTTTAACATTCGGCTGCCCAGCCACATTCCCAGCAGGAGTAAATGTAACCATTTGCCACAGGTGAGAGCTCTCAGGTAGCCACCACCGAGTTGGAGGAATTTTGTAGATTAATGTGATCTGTGTCGTTATAGCTGTTATTGTCTAGGAGATGGCTCCTCTGAAATTATAGTAAGTACCATGCCACAATTAAGCTCTTTTCTCGTAGAAACAGCCACAAGCTGCAGGCAAAAGCTTAAAAATTGTATCTTAAAATCATTGAGTACAGTTTGCGGGCCTTTGCATAGAGACATAGATGAGAGGGCAGAATGTAGGGGGAATGTCAGCATTTCAGTCTGCTAGAGAGAATGATAACATTGACACAAGCAGAAAAAGCAGGACATTTTGTAACATTGAGAGAAAGAAATCTATAAACAGAAGACAACGGAATGCCCCATATCCTCCTTTTAGAGTTAATTTTTGTTGAGGACAGTAACATTCAGAGGAGACAGCAATAGCAAGGAACATGCCTTTGTCAGAGCAGGCTCTCCTGAAAATTCTGCTGCAAGAAAAGTTGAAGGATTTTTGTTTTTTATTGGCCTATTTCTTTGATTTTTTTCGTATATATCTCCAGCAGTAAAGAAATGGTCTCCAGTCTTCCTGGAACAAATGCAGCGATTACTGAGGTAGCCATGTAGAAAATATAGATCTGAGGTACATAGTTAGTGAATCAAAATTTCATAGTTGGTCATATGCCAAAGGCTATCTTAGCATTGCGTGCTCAGACTTTTGTCAGTTTTCTAAGTTTGAAGGAAGCCAGGATTTGCAGGCACTGAGAAGCATTACATAGGTTCAGCTAATTTCTTGGTTTGCTTGCACTATTCTAAAAGGTTTGATCCACCAGCACCAGGAGGTGATCCACCACAACAAAGCTCCCCTTATGAAGGGAGTTGTTAGTGTCCAGGATTTAATGCAAAGCACTGAGAGCTCTAAGAGTCATTCTACTGCTGGCTTGCTGTGAGACCCTAGGCAAGTCATTTAAATCCAATATCCCTGTCTAAAAAATGGGCATATTTTATGAAAGAACACTTTAAGAACCTTAAGTAGTGTGTAAATGCAAATTATTAGTAGCAATTCTCATAAGCATTAGTAAAAATATTCATTAGCAAGAGAGAGTTTGATCAGGAAATGAATCCTTTATGTGACATGATTGCCTGCAGTTCCCAGCAATTATATTTGGTGAACCAGAAGTTCCCTTCTTATGTTTCCAAAAAGGTAATATAGGAATTGTAAGAAATTCTAAAATACATCATAATCCTGCCCCTTTCCCTTTAATTCATATTTGTAAACTCTATATACCAATGGGAAAGGAACATAATTTAATAAAAACAATGGCCTTCACCGAGTGCTTTGCACATGTTTTAGAAGTCTTGGCTAACCTGGCAGTTTCATCCTCGCAGAATTCCTCTGAACTGTGAATGAGATTTAAATGAGAGATTTATGTAGTTTCTTGCGCTGATTAATTTTGTAAAAAGTAAAGTTTGTTTTGAAGAGCATGCCTATCCTGCCCCATGGAAGCCTAGCAACTGGATATAAAGCAGAATTCCTAGTCCCATCTTACTTACTGCTTTGCTGTCCCCAGAGAACTTTGCGAGGTGCATCAGCAGATAAATACCATGAACTAAGAAATCTACCATTCATAGGATGATGATTTGTCATGTTCTGGGATGGCACCACAAGTATCATTACCTCATTTCACGATCTCTCTGAACTGTTCCCTGGTTGCTCAGTTTCACAATCATCTTCCAACTGAAAATCACATCTTACCTGAGTCCCAAATTGCTCACAAGGCAACACACATATTCTTAAGGGTGTCTTTTCTTTTTTATGTCCTTTTCTCCTTTCTGTAGACTTATGCCCTCCTTATCTTCATCTTCTCACTGTTCTGGACAAATGTCAGTGAAAAGGTACCCCTGACCTCTCTCTGTCAGTATTTTTTGAGTAGTTATGTATTATCCAACTAAAAGATTAGTCAGATATTTTTAATGCCAGAATTCAGAGTATTAATTGAGAGATAAACCCTAACACTGATTTCTGCTGACTTCCCTACTAATCGCTATCACCAATAGATACAGCAACTGTGACACAAAACCCCTGTTCATGTTACTCATTTCAGTTACAATCTAAATTTCACTGAAACAGACAAATTTCCACTGACTTCCGCTGGGCTATAGCTTAAGCGTTAAAACTAGAAATCTCTTTATCTGTTATTGCTGTATTGTGCAGTATTTCATTAAGTGACTTTCTTTGCTCACTTCTTCAGCCCACCTGGCTGTTTCGTCAGCTGAAGTGGTGGTAACAGTATCGGTGAGACTGCTGTTCTCATTGAACTGCGGTTAGAATCAGCTGCCCCAAAAGTTGTTTCAGCTCTTTCTTATCTCCCTGATCCTCTGTGAGCTGCATTTTCTAGGACACATTTCAAGCCGCATTTTCAAACCTATGCCTACTGCAGCTTCAGTAGGCCTTCAGTAGGCATAACTTGTTTGGTGTCCAGATCTGTTTAAGAGCTAGAGAGTGCCCCCAAACCCAAACAGCTTAGGGATAGATTTTGAAATTTCTTCACAGAATAAGGAGCACCTATCGTTCTATCCAGTCACCCACTCGTTTTCTGTGCTTCATCTAACTTGTTAGGATATCAGACAACTCAATGATAGTAAGGAGAAGCAAGCCAGATCAAGTATAATAACAGTTTCACCTATATTTTGAATATTTTATAGAATTCAGGAGTATATTTATCTCTGTGGTTGTCCCTTACATACAGTATTCCTCCTTTGCATGTCTGCATGTTCCTGTTGCCTTTGCTCCTATCAGTGGCTTTAGCAGGCCAGAGTTGGGCCTGACTGGAAGTAGGAAAAGCCAGAAATCTCATAACACTGGTAGTCCAGTTGTGCTGAACCTACAAACTTCATATTTTCAGAGGAAGTGTCAAAAGAGTTCAGATGTTCTTACGAACTGGACATTTGTGCCTTGCTCATCGAAATGCCCACCTGGACCTGGCGTTCCTCAGCCTAGCCCTTGGGCATGTCCTCACCCTAGCAGCCACTTTTTGTGCTGACTAAGGGAGTTTGAACATAAAATGTCAAAAGAACCACCATATCTTCCAGTCTGTCTTGATAGGTGCTGCCTACACAAGAGCCTTCCTGAATCACCAGGAAATGCAGAGCATAGATGTAAAATGTTGCCACCTTGATCTCTTCTGTTTCAGGCAAAACAAAAAAATGCAAGAGCAGCAACGTAAGAATATCTGAATTCCCTAGGGCAGTTGCAGTCCCACTTGCTTCTTCAGCTGCCTCTCCTGCCCCTCACCTGCCAATGCTGAAATTCCATTTTGAAATAGTTATAGCATTTTACATCACTGATCCCTTCTTAAAAGAAAATCACTAATTTCCTCTCTGTAATTGTTCCACACTGTTCTGGGGTTGACTGCGATATTATATCCCAAAAAATTAACAAAAACATATTGCACTTTATACCAGGAATATTTTTCAATCTCATAATTTAAAACCAATATAATTCGGATTATGGCTTCTTTATGGCTCTTAACAGTGCTTTGATCCGCTTCTGTGGTTCTTGTGTAGGTACAATGATGGCTTGGAAACCTGAACCCTTGAATGTGTACAGGGTGAACAGGAAGTAGCTGAGATAGTCCAAGGACCAGCTGAAATGGTCACAAGATTTTCCTATCAATGTACTAGCTGCTACCCTTCCTCAAACCAGGTCCATTATCCATGCTATGCCCCTGAAGTGCAAGGAATAAATACTGCTGATGCTTTGAGAGTGGGCATAGCATGTTGATTAGAGCATCCCAGAAAGGAGGCGGGATATCTGCTAAACAAAAGAAAAATAGCAGAGTTAAAGTGAGTCAAGAGAATGGAGATCACAACACATCATTGTGTACCTTCTCTAAGTCATTGAATATTACCACTTTTTTCCTAGCATACTCATAAGATCCATGAAATAATATGCAATTTCTTTGATTATCAGCATTCATGGCAGTCTGACAATTTCTCCCCCCCACACACCCCTTGGGAGCTAATCTTGTAATCCAGAATAGGAGACAACAGTGAAAAGTGCTGACCCAGCCAGCCTTAATGAGTCTGCACTGGTAGAAATCTGTTCATACGTTCCCAGACTTTCAGAGTGCAGTGTGCTCATTTCAGGAAATCAAGGTGACCCCCAACTGCATCTGACCGGTTTACAGATTGTTTTTCTAATCTTGTACTCCTTCTAATCTATCTCACTCAGTCTAAACAACATTCTTACTGCTGTAGAGCAAAACCATTAATTAATATTGCCATAACAAATTAGTAATAGAGGGGTGCCTGGATTTCAAATGGACCTAAATTAAAAACGAATAAGTGTGAAAATCGCATTCACTCTACTTTGAAACTGCTTAACACTGCTGTTGCTGGTTCACATCCAGAGCCTCCAGAGGAGTAGCCAGTTTATTTATTTAAGCACAACTTCACTGTGTTTTGTTTGTATGTCACCAGAAAGAAGCAGGGCTTTTTCCTTCTGCAGGTCAGGCTAACTGTTTGAATCCAGTTAAATCACATATTTGCCATAAGCCTAACTTGCAGAGCAAAGCAATCTGAGTGTCCCTATTGCACCAATTCCTCACAGTGCACAGGTCAAGGATTCCTGCAAGCTGACTTCAGTATCACCTTAGTGAGCAACGTCACACGAAGAATAACCAGTGTGGTGTATGAAAAAGCTCGGCCTCCAATCCACTCCTCAGGAAAAGCCTGCTTCTTTGCGTGTGTAAAATAGACTTAATTTTCATGCAGTATCAATTGTTCCTGCCTTCTTCACTTTATTTCTCTAACTACCCTCCTTTGCAAACTTCCTTGCAAGAATGCCTTCTCACCTATGGTGTAATTAAGATGGGGCGGAGGTTGTCAGTGATAGGTTTGACTCTGGTGAGAAGAGGGACAGCACCTAGCTGGCACAGAGTTTTGAGAAGCCATTCCAATGCGTTTTATGTGAATAGCTTTGTCTAGTCAAGTGACCAGCTACATTTTTTT